CCCCAAAACCCCAAAACCCCAAAACCCCAAAACCCCAAAACCCCATTCATAATTCCATTGCTTGAGTTTAGAGGTATATTTATGGCATTATTGTGACTCATACTGCATTACGGTGGTTCACTGTTACTTTTGGCTCCACAATATGTCTTTCTTCTAAGAATTTACTAACCTGCTTCTTATACAAGCTGGATCCAACTCTTATAGGTAGCATACTTCTATTTTTGAGCTCCCCTCTCATAGAGGTTATTTCATAGAGCTCTCCTCCTTCTGTGAGTAACTTGCCGTTACCTTCTCTAAAGTCTTTATCAAATTCTCCTTCATAATATTCCTTGGTTTGCGCTATGAATTCTCTTCCAAAACCTGTTTTGGTTCCTTCGTCCCATTTGCCTTCATATTTATCTCCATTTTTGCAAGTCAGGATACCAAATCCGTGCTGCCGTCCGAATTTGAACTGGCCTTCGTACTGATTGCCATCAGGGAAGTAGAGAACACCTCTGTCACCGATATCATTGTCTTCAATGACACCTTCAAAGATTTTATTATCAGGAAAAGTTATTTTGCCTTTCTCTTTAAGCTCTCCGTTGTTGAACTCGCCTTCGATTACAGTACCATTAGCGAGTATAAGTTTGCCATAGCCATTGTATTCTTCATTATAGAAGTTCCCTATATATTTTGAGCTATCATTGTTGAGAAGAGTTCCGTAGCTTTTGGCATCTTTGGCCCAGTTTCCTTTGAAAATGGACATGTTATCGTAAGACATTTCTCCTTCTCCCTCTCTCATATCTCTTTTCCATTGCCCTTTGTAGGTTCCTGTGCGAGATTCAGTTTCTGTAGGAACTGAATAGAGCATAATTCCATAGCCGTCTTTCTTTGAGTTTTTAAAATTTCCTTTGTAAATATTTGAGTTTTCATACCGGATTTCTCCCATACCATAGAGTCTTCCTTTATTTGAAATTTCCATGCTGTTCAGAGTAACTCTGGGCTTCAAGACTCATATATCTGTTACCTTCAAAGTCGGTAAAAATACCATTTCCATTGGCATCATCTTCAATGAATTGCCCTATATATTGCCCTCTGTTAGGGTAGTTTAGGCGCCCTTTTCCAATTCTTTTGCCTTCTACAAATTGTCCATCATAGTTCTTCCCATCTTCATAGTAATAAGAGCCTTGGCCATCAGGGGTGCCTCCATGGAGAATCTTCCCTTCATAGTAATCACCAGTATTATAAAAGATGCTGGCTTGGCCTCCTTGGATTATTCCTTTAATAAACCTTCCTTTTGCGATATAGTGCTGCTTCAGAACGATCATTTCTCCAGTGGCCTCATTCGAGCTTTCAGTTGAGATGAAGATATCTCCCTTTTCAGATACCATAAAATTAACTTTGGATAATGAAGCGTTTGGATGGTACGTCCCTGCTTTGAAAAGATCCCCAAACCAGATATGAAGGTCTTTCAGGAATTGGGCTATCTGTGAGTCCACATATTTAGGCATGACATCTGGGCTAAAAATGAGCAGTTTAGGATACTATGATTTCTTGATATGCTTATATTTCCGTTTAAGCTTCTCCATAATTTCCTTCGGCTTCTTCTTAGGAGAAGCTTTCAGATTGAAGTCTTCCCACTCAGGCTCAGTGAAGAGCTTTGTGTTGGTCATCTTCTTAATAGCGCTATCATAACATTTGGTCTGAAAGTTAATGAAAGTTAAAGAGTTGTCTAAATTATGTGAGGTAAGCGGCTTCATGTGGTAGCTTTGAAACCCATTAGAATTAAACCGATTTTTCATCTGTGTAGTAGGCCTTCTGGCTTTATTATGGCTTTTTGAAGTATACACATTGTTATCAAGGTAATTAAAAGAGTTCTCAAATGAATTAGTTGATAGCTGTCTTGTTCTTTGAGAAGCAGTATAACATCTATTTGATGTCAGACTTCTCCTCTTTTTGGAGTTTCTTCGAGAATCAAGGACTTTCCTAGCATTTTCGAACCAGTTTTCAAGCCGATTGCTAGCTCCTGATCTATATGAAAGTTACTAAATGCTCTGAAATAAGATTTAAATTGTGCTAAATTATCGAATGATCTGCACTAAATGTTCCTGTACGAATTACCTATTCTTATTCTGTTTAATTTGCATCAAGATATTATAAAAGTCTTGTTTATTCTTGCTGGCTTGGGGGTTCTCATCAAATGAAAGTTCAGCACGAGGAGGCTTCTTTTGTGTAATTTCAAAACTTTTAGACATATTTTCTACCAATATTACAACCAAGTTACCATATTCGTTAAAGATCGGGATTGCCTTGTTGGTCATTTTCACTTTCGAAGTAGCATTGAAGTTAGAATTGAGGTTAATCTTAGTCTGAAGGTTAAGTCTGTAGTGAAACTTTCTGCCATTCTTATGGTCAGACTAAAATATTACAACCGTTGATTTACCATTGACTTGTTGTGACGATAGCTCTTCTTTACCTTCGACTCAGTCATCTTGTAAGCTTTGGATAAAATTTTTGATTTCTTGATCAAAGATTTGTAGTACTGAGGTGCCTTCAAGTTTGATTGCTTTCCAAGGCTATTGTCCATCATACTAAGATCCTAGAAAGTATTTAGATTATTTGAAATAAATTTTAGCTCTAATGAATTTACCATTTGGATTATTTTCAATTATAAAATTTTATTTCGGGGTTTTGGGGTTTTGGGGTTTTGGGGTTTTGGGG